AAAACGCATCGTTGTATCGAAAGCGTGTAACCCTGCGCCCCCATGTTCTCAGTTACCAGTCGGCTATGCTGCTGCTTTCCGCTCTTCTTCTTCCCCCTCGCGCATGGGCGCGCCGCACGTCGGCTGCCAGAAGTAAAAATACACAAGCCACAGCATATCTACATATTCGCATACATCACATACTCGCCTCAGCACACACACTCACACAGAAGAACACGAGGAGATGCTTCGCTGCACCGCTATGAGCCTTACTGCCAAGCGCGTCTTTATCGTCGGCGGCCACATCACGCCCTTTGTGGGAAAAGGGTCTCCTCTCTTCATTGACAAAAAGCACCCCGACTTTGGCAAGAAGGAGAACAAGACGCTGGAGGAGATGCTGGCGGACAGCATCAACGGCGCCCTGCAGCAGACCGGCCTTAATGGCGACGGCCGTGCGGCGCTGGTGGACAAGTTGGTGGTCGGCAACTTCCTCGGCGAGCTCTTCTCCGCGCAGGGGCACCTTGGCCCGGCGGCGGTCGGCAGCCTGTGCGGCAGCACCGCGTTCATGAACAAGCCGGCGATGCGCGTGGAGGGGGCTTGCGCGAGTGGCGGCCTCGCAGTGCAGGTTGCGTGGGAGGCGCTGCTCGCCGGCACCTCGCAGATTGCGCTCGCGGCAGGTGTGGAGGTGCAGACGACGGTGTCGGCGCGCGTGGGCGGCGACTACCTCGCACGCGCTGCACACTACAAGCGGCAACGCAGCCTCGACGACTTCACGTTCCCGTGCCTTTTCGCGAAGCGTATGAAGGCCATTCAGGAAGCGGGTCACTTCACGATGGAGGACGCCGCACGCGTGGTGGCCAAGGCATACGCCAACGGTAACAAGAACCCGCTCGCACACATGCACACACGAAAGGTGACACTCGAATTCTGCGCCAACGCCTCCGAAAAGAACCCCAACTTCCTCGGAAACGAGACGTACAAGCCGTTCCTGCGCAACACGGACTGCTCGCAGGTGAGTGACGGCGGCGCCGCGGTAATCCTCGCCAACGAGGAGGGACTCAAGAAGATCGGCATCTCCGCCAACGACAGTCGCCTGGTCGAGATCAAGTCGCTCGCCTGTGCTGCGGGCAACTTGTACGAGGACGCCGCCGACGCCACACGCATGATGACCTCGCGCGCGGCCGCACAGCAGGCACTCGCATCGGCAGGCGTACGGCCATCGGACCTGCAGGTGGCCGAGGTGCATGACTGCTTCAGCATAGCGGAACTGCTCATGTACGAGGCCCTTGGCATTGCCGAGTACGGCAAGGCGAAGGACATCATCCGCAACGGCGACACGATGCTGGACGGCCGCATCCCTGTCAACACCGGCGGTGGCCTGCTCGCCTTTGGCCACCCGGTCGGCGCCACGGGCGTGAAGCAGATCATGGAGGTGTACCGCCAGATGAAGGGACTCTGTGGCAATTACCAGATGAAGAATATACCTGCACTTGGCGCGACGCTGAACATGGGTGGCGATGACAAGACCGCTGTCTCGACCGTCCTCGGAAACATCTAAGAGAATAGGTTTCTCTGGGGTTTCTGTGCACTTGAAGACCGCACCCGCACTACGCTAATGCAAAAACGAAAGACAGGAGGAAAAAAAAAAAGAAAAAAAAAAACGAAGCAATAATGAAAGGGTAGGTGGGCAGAGGAGATGGCTGCACTGCTCTGGTGTTTTTGCTGCTTTTGTGGGGTTTTGTTTTCTTTGTTTATGGGTGGGTGCGAGGCACGTTCACGCACCTCGTTCACCACCCTGGTCTGTTAGGGAGGAAAGGAATATGGTTGCTCCTATATATATATATATATATATATTGTTGCCCGTGCCTTCTGTGCCGCTTTTGTTGTGGTTGTTGTTGTTTTTTTGTTTGTTATATGCATTCTAAGTGCGTTTTAACTGCGGCGAAGGTCGTGGCACATTAGAGAGAGGGAGAGAGAGAGAGAATAATTTCGCAGAGCGACGCAGCGATAATGAGCACCCACACTTTTCGTCCCCCTCAACGCTCTGTCGTTCCTTTGGCGAACGCGTTGTGCACATGTGGTGTGCTTGCCCGATACGCGTTGTCCGTGTGTGTGTGTGTTGCGTGGCGCCTGCCCCACACCCCTGCTGCTGTGGTTTCTGCCCCCCAACCCACCCGTCTCCCTTCTTATTCCTGGTCTCCATCGGTTTGTGGGTTTGGTGTCTCTCTGTTGGTATAAGGGAGAGGAGCAAGAAGGGCATTTAGCTAAGAAAGATGCTTCGCTTTTCTCTTTCAGTACGCCAAGTGTCGAAGCGGTTGGTGGCGGAGCTCGCGGCCATAAACACCGCGCAAGAGGCCGGCGACCGCGTGGCCACGGAGACCGCTTCCACATCAGCGGCGGTGACAGCGACAGCAGGGAAAAAGTCTTCTTCACCTGCTGCTGCTGCGGCGGCGGCGGCTCCGACAGCATCAAGCGGTCCTGCACCGCCTGCGGCGGCTTCCACAACTGTGCGAGCAGCCGCGGAAGCCGCGCTGCGGGGCGCGGGGCCGCAGACCGCGTCGCAGAAGCCCATCCCGCCAGCGAAGATCACTGCAGCGGTGAGGAGGCTGAAGAAAAGGGCGAGAGAAATGATCAGCGACGTGCCAGCGGCTCCCGCCAAGGCGGCAAACGACGCGGAGAGGGCGCCGGCACCAGAGCCAGTGCAGCCAAAGAAGAGTGGCAGCGGTGAGAACCCGGTGGCCGAGTCGCAACAGGTTAAGAAGAAAAAGAAAAAGATGGCAAAAACAGCGCATTCGTCAGGACACACCGCGGCAGTGAATGAATCTGCGTCTTCTTCTGCTGCACCATCACCACAACAACCGGCGCCGAAGACGGAAGCTGAGGCCGAATCGCCTGCCGCCAAGCCACAGTCACTGTCGAGGCCGCCCCTGAAGAAAACACATGCATCAGAGGTGTCACCAGAGCAACAGCAGCGTGCGCCAGCGACAGGACAAGTGCCGAAGACGGAAGCTGAGGCCGAATCGCCTGCCGCCAAGCCACAGTCACTGTCGAGGCCGCCCCTGAAGAAAACACATGCATCAGAGGTTCCACCAACACCAGCAGCAGCTCGTGCCACTTCGGTCTGTTCTACTTCTGCTGCAGCTGCTGCTTCTGACGCAGAAAAGGGTGCTAACCCACAGCACAAGACCGCGATGGTCAAGGCGTTCCGCATCGAGGACGTGCTGGCGGCGTGCACGTCTAACGACGGCGTCTTTGCGCGCCGGCTGCCGCAGGGTGGGTGCCAGTTCTTCGCGTGGCCTGGCACACCTCTTATGGTGGCAAGCAACGCGGTGGCGACGATGCCCGACACCATTCGCACGGTGCACGCTATATTCGGTCGCGAGAAGACGCCACTGGACTTGGTGCTCGACATCGACTGCCCGGTGCCGCAGGAGCACTGGAGCATGGCAAAGATTCGCCCGTTCCAGAAGAAGCTGCTTGACGACGTCATGACAGTCGTGACAGAAGAGATCGAGGCGATTGGGGAGAAGATCGCCACGCAGGTCGTGCTGCAGTCGCCGAACCTCAAGAAGGCCTCCTTTCACGTGCACACGAAGCTGCAGGACACAGCATTCGAAGACTACCACTCGCTGCACGGCTTCCTGCACCGCTTTCACAAGAGGATCCCCACCGTCGACCTTCAGATCTACCGCCCCAACGGGATGCTGCGCATGCACCGCTGTATGAAGGAGAACCACACCAGCGCCATCGTCGTGTTCGAGGACGAGCGCTGGAATATCGGCTTCCCCAAGGGCGTTGTATCGGACGCCGACGCCGCACTGCACTCCGCGTGCATCCGAGAGGCCGGCACCTTCACGCGCCTGCTGCACTTCGACGCCCCGCGCAGTCTAACGCTGCAAGACGACGCCAGCGGAAGCGGCAGCAGCGGTGCGGCGGGCACGGCGGTGAAGCTTCCGCCGGTGCTGCTACCGCGCACCGAGAGTGAGGCGGTCGGGAACGCCTCCGCGTGGCTGCGACACGGCGCGCGCGAGATCGATGTGGGCGAGTGGCGCACATGGATTAGCCTCGGGATCAACGCCTACCGCATCGCCTATCACTTCCGAGATGCGCAGACGCTAAAGCGACCCGCCATGGAAGAGCTACTCGATGCCTGGGTGGAGGCGAGCAAGAAGTCTCCCATGAAGTTTAGGAGCGGCGTGTGCGAGTCCAAGTGGACCACATTCGACATCAATAAGCTGTCCAAGTCGAAGGACTACGACTGGTGGGCGTCGTATCAACGCATCGGTCGCATGGCCTTGAAAAACGAGGCAGCAGAAGCAGCAGTTAAGGAGGCTCCAGCCGCCTCCTCCAACGCAGCGAAGCGGAAATAGTAAATGTCGCGTGGTATCGTCACGTTACGCCTGCCCACAGGCAATATCCATAGAGGAGGTGAACGGAAAGGGATTAATGAGAGTTTGTTTGTTAATTTTCGATTGGTGAGAAGCACGTGGGAGCTTGCTGTTTGAGTTGGACCATAGACTGTGCACCGCCTACCCGTGTGTGAAGTATTTCCATGGTTTTAAGGGACGAGGTGAGCCTCCTCACCCAAATGTCCTGCTGTGTTTCTGTGGCGGTGGGCGGATGCATTCACTTTGTTTGTTTTCTTGTTTTGTTTTCCGGTTGGTGTTCTTGTTGCTCTTGTCGTCGTGGTTGTTGGTGTGCTAACGTTTTCGCTCGTGTTGGCGGCGATGACGGCACACATATGCGCCCCGCCCAACGCAGCAGCAGCAGCAGCAGCAGAAACAAAAGGAAACAAGGAGGCAGCCGAAGAGTGGGAAGAAAGAAGTGGGAGGGAGAAAAGATAAAGAGATAAAGGGTGGCGATGCATTCATAGACTAATACCCGTCTTGTTTTGTTGTTTTGTCATTGGTGTGTTTCTCAGCTCCTCCTCGAAGTTTCTGTTCGTTACTTCAATTGCGGCTTTACTTTCGCATTGTAGTCGTGGCCGCTGCTTTGGTTGGAGTACTTTTTCTTTGTCTCGCCCCGCGGGTCGCCTCGGTCGTGCCGCCCACAGCCCCCTTCTTTTTACAACCCCGCTGTATGTATGTGTGTAGGAGTCAAGGATGAGGAACCCCGTCTCCATTAGAAGTGTCGAAAGAACCACGGTGAGCGACGCCCTGGCACCGCCCCGCATCGGCGTGTTGGGCACCTCGCCGGCGGCACGGCGGGTCTGGCAACAGGCGCAGCGGGCAGGCATGACTGTTGTCGCTGTGGGAGGGTGCAACGCCACGGAGGCGGTGGCCTTCATTCACGCGTGCGGTGGCGATGTTGTCTACCAGGAGCAACATCAAGGTGGGGTTGGGCCACAGGCGGTGAACACGGCGAGAGCGTGCACGTACGATGAGCTGGTAAAAGATTCCAACGTGGACGTTGTGTACATGACGCTCCCTGTTGCAAAGCGCGACACTTGGGTCAGCAGGTGCATCCAACGGCGCAAGCACATTCTTCTCTCCGTCCCCGCGGCACCGTCCGCCGCTTTGCTGCAGAAGTGGATAGAACGGGCCACCCCACTGCAGCTACTCCTCACAGATGATGCCGCGCTCATGTATGGCACACGGATGCAACGAGTGGAGCAGATGTTTCGTAGCGTGGGCGAAAACACCATTGGGGAGCTTCGCAATCTGCGTGTTTGCTGTAGCAGTGGTAGCGGTGGCGCCACCGCCGGTGCGTTTACCACTACGTGTAACGATACCGATAGCAAAAACGGCGAAAATAAAAATAGTACTGACCCGGGACTTGGCGTCCTCGGCGACTTGGGGTGGCTGGCAGTTGCGGCAGTGCTGCACCTCATGCAGTACGCAATGCCGAAAGCCGTGCTGGGACGCGCAGTGCAGCGGCGGGGGGGCGGTAGCGACAGCATCACCGAGTTTTCCGGGGAGCTCATCTTTGCTCCCGTAACCGGGCAGTCAGTGGTAACAGCCACCCTCTACGTGAACCACCACCTAGCGGCAGCACCAGTAGTGGCGGAGCAGTCACTAATCGCGTATGGCACTACCGGCTCAGTGGTGCTGCACGACCTCATCGTCCCAGCGCCGGATGTGGACGGCAGCGTCGCCGTCACCGTTGCGTCGCACGCGTCGGTGCAGGGCGCACAGCTGCGCCGCAACTTGCGCCGCGAGACGGAGCTGCGCATAACAGAGTCGGTGCCGTGGGCTGAGCTACCGTGGCACAACCTGCGCGGCGCACTCGTGCCCGACCTGAACGGCACGGCGCATGGCTTCGCATCGCGCTTCCGTGGCAATACAGAGGAAGCGACGGCATACTTGCGGCGCACGTACGTGACGCAGACGGTAATCGACGCGTTGCGCGAGGCGGCGGGCATGACGCTGACGGCGCAGCAGGCCGAAGGGAGCGTCAGTGTATGATTGTATCGAGCAGGGAAGGGGAGCCAGCACGACGCGCGGTTTGGCCTTTTTTGCTGCTGCCGCTGTTTCTTCTCTCTGTGTCACTCACTCTCTGTTGTCTGGCTGGTAGTCTCAACTTTTTCCCTCCATCCCTGCAGGAGGCGGGGCGTCAAAGCAAGAGAAAGGAACGCATATTCAATCAGGCAAACAGGGGGGCAGGACAACCCGCAAAGTTAAGGGGACTAGAAACCATGGCGGAGACTATGACGCCCATCAACGTTGGCCTCCTCGGTGCGGCCAACATTGCGCGTCTCGTGTGGGCCTCCATCCACCGCGTAGGGCACCGCGTCACGCTGGTTGGATGCCGCGACAACGACCGTGGCGTGGAATTTGTGAGGGAAGTGTGCGACGCGCTGAGCATCCCCGAGGCGACGCGACCACGCGTGACGACGTACGACGAGGTGGTGGCATCGCCCGACGTGGATCTTGTTTACATGCCGATCCCCGTCACCGCCCGCGACGACTGGGTCGTGGAGTGCGTCGCGAACAGCAAGCACGTGGTGGGCGAGACGCCACCGGCCGCCACGGCGGAGCGGCTGCGCAGCTGGATCGAGGCCCTTGATGAGAAGGAGCTGCTCTACATGGACGGCACCGTGGACTCGCACGGCAAGCGTGTGCAGGAGGTGGCTGCGGCCGCCAAGACGCTGGGGCCGATCAAGCACATGCATTCCAACCACTGCCGCAACGCGCCGCCGGAGTTACTGGGCGACGACGTCCGCACGGATCCCGCGTTGGAGCCGCACGGCGCCCTCGGTGATATGGGCTGGTGCAGCATCCGCTACTTCCTGCATGTCATGGAGCTGCGCATGCCGGTAGAAGTGACTGGCCGCATCATCAAGACGGATGGCGGGAAGGACGCCATTGTACAATTCTCCGGCGAGCTGACGTTCGACGTGGACGGCAACAAGACTGTTGCGTCGCTGTTCGCCGCCCTCAACTCGATGGATGAAGGGACGCTCACGGTGGCCGGCACAGAGGCTGTGCTGCGCATGAAGGACATGTGCCACCCCATCAGCGGCAGGCCTGCCAGCTGGACCATCACACGGGAACGCACAGTGCCGCGTGAGTGCAACTGGGACGTTGTGCGCGAGGTGGAGACGTTCCACACCGACGAGCACACCGAAACGCGGCGCGACAAGATGTGGGAGGACGTTGGTCACATTTTGTGCCGCAACGGCGCGGGAAGGTTAGTGGCAAGCGAGGAGCAGCGGCGCTACTGGTCGATGCTCTCGTGGAAGACGCAGGTGGTGATGGACCGCATGCTCGAAAGCGCGCGCTGCTCCGGCTGAGTGGACACCGGAAGAATAACGACAATAGGAAAGGTGGGTGGCGACTGATGATGCCGCTGGCTACGATGCCCGCTGGGGGGAGAAGAAAAAAAAAAAAA